GACGCCAGAGCACCACGAACAGAGAAAAGAACAAAATAGAGTTCACATCTTGGGCAAATACAGACAGACAGACGGACAGACAGACCCTAAGAAACCACAGAACAAGGATGTTGGAAAACTGACCACTGCCCAACGTGGTCCTGGGAGAAGAATGGCACGTGTGCCAGAGAGGGGAAACCCCAGTACCGCTTGGCCTAATTTCCGGGGATGCCTGAAGGTGGCCTCCCGGTGGGCTCCGGGATGCCACGGCAGCGCCCAGGGTGGACACCCAGCTGCCCGTCACGCGTGCGGGCCCACACTGGCTCGAAGAGAGCGCCAGGGAGGCGTCTGGAAAGTGAGGGCGTGAGTGCCAAACACCTCCTTCGAGGGCCCTCTGCTCCTTCCATCCCTGTCGGAAAAGCCAGAGTAGAAGCAGCCCCAGGAACCGTGGCCTGGGGACAAGCAAACGTCCGGTGGTTTCATCGGAAACAACAGTATCTCTTCCCCGTTTTAGTGGTTTTCTCCGTGGATCGGACATGCCCAGTCCTACCCCACAGACGCGGTACTTTCGGGTTTTATGCAGCTCCGGGAAAGTGTCATACGTCATCCTGCTGCCGCCACAGCCCCAGGCGAGGGGATGCCCCACGGCAGCCATGGCACCCACCAACGGCAGCCACGCTGCAGCTAAACCTGAAGAAACAGATCCCAGGTTCCGGGTCCTTCTTCCTCTGAGGATTCGAGCACACGTCTCTGATCACCAGCGTGTACTTTCCACTCCCGCCCCCAGGAGCCGTGAGGCTGGGTGTCACCCGCAGGGGGCGCTCCGTGGATGGGGGAAGGTGGACCCTGCCCCGCATGCCCCCCCCACCTGCGCCCGTGCTCCGTGTCAGCATCGCAGCAGCTTGTCATTGAGCCTGATGACATCGCTGACAAACGTGTCCACCCCGATGAAGTCCCCCGCGATGATGTTGGTGCACCGCACGCCCGGCCCAGGGCACTGCTCACGCACCCACGTGCGCAGGTACGGCAGGTTGGGGAGCGTCATCTTCTCCAAGGACTCGG